ATCACAATCACCATCACCACCATCACCACCACCATCACTATCACAATCACCATCATCACCACCACCACCACCATCACCACCACCATCACCACTATCACACTCACCATCATCACCATCACCACCATCACCACCACCACCATCACCACCACCATCACCACCACCATCACCATCAACAACAACAACCGCCATTCGCCACTAAGTGGCGGTGACGTCACCACGACGCTTGTGCCAGGCTATGTGCACCTTGAGGCTACGTGAAGTGTCGACCGCCTGCTGACAGGAGGTCACGGGGCAGACCCCGGTGCCACGGGTCGACTGACTGAGATGACTGGCTGATGCACCACCTGTGCCCCCTACTGTGCCAACTTGCTGTGCTTTAGCCACCCGGTGCTCCGCTCGTTGTTGTGAGCGTCGCTCCTCCGCCCTCCATTGTTGTTGGAGGGCGACTGCCTCCAACTGCCCAGTAGCGTCCTTCACGAGCCTCCTCCACAGAGGCCGATCTTGACACTGCTGGTACCGGTCATCGGCAAGTCCACTCAGCTCCACATCCTCATGTACCACGTCACTCCATCTCTTCTCCAGCCCGTGCCGCGCCCGTTTAGCCCATCGTTCCGGCCGAACAAAAGCTGTGTCGGCATGCGGTGGCTGGGCATGCGGGCTACATGACCCAGCCATCGCAGCCTTGCCTGATGGAGGAGCTCACCGATGGGACCTTGTCCAGATCTTTCAAGGATTTGTGAGCTCCTCACACAATCCAGCCTGGTTAAACCCAGGATGGATAGTTGGCAGGCCAGCCTAAATGTTTCTAACGGGCAGAGATGTTCGATTACGGGGGTCCACGTTTCACAAGCGTAGAGAAGGGAGGGAATTACCGTGGCCGAGAAGACCTGAAGCTTCGTGCGGAGCGACAGACCAGGTAGCTTCCACACAGCGTTACGCAACCGATGAAAAGATATTGCCGCTCGACTGATTCGGAGTGAGACCTCCGCTGCCAAACCGGAGCTGGTCATGAGCACACTGCCCAGGTTTTGGGAAACTCTCCACTCTCTCTACAACTGCCCCATCACCGATTGGGAGTTGGGGGTGGAGTGCCCAATGGTACAAAATACCCAGGCAGGTGCTTAGTTTTGGTGGGGCTGATGAAAAGGCCCCACCTCTTAAAGGCACGCTCCAGTCTCAGCAGCAGCGTCTCCAACTCCTCCTCTGAATGAGCAGCCATTACCAGATCATCGGCATACATAACGTGGTTGAGCAATAGGGAGCCATCCCTTGACCGCACCCAGGCATCGATCAGCCTCCCATTATATCTGTACCAAATGGAAATTCCTCCGGAACAGCTATTGAAGGCTTCACGAACTATGTGGTCAAAATAGATGTTAAATCATGTGGGAGCCAGAGGACATCCCTGTCGCACCCCAAGGTGTACAAGGAATGGCTCTGACTCCCAGCCACGTAGTTTTACCCGGGCCCGCTCACCATCATGAAGGACCTTAATGATTGTGAGCAGAGGGTCAGGTACTCCAAAAGCACAAAGAACAACCCAAAGCCCAGGCCTACTGAAGGTATCAAAGGCCTTGACCAGGTCAATAAAGCAGAGATGTAGGTCTTGTTGGAATTCCCTACACCTCTGCTGTAGCAGACAGATAGAAAATATGGCATCTGTGCAGGACCGCCCTTTCCTGAAACCGCATTGGGGCTCCACAAGCCTCTCCTCAGCGTGCCTGGCAAAGCGATGTTGAATAATCCTTGCCAGGACCTTTTCCGGCACACTGAGGAGTGAGATGCCCCTGTAGTTGTTACAGTCTGTGCGGTCCCCCTTCTTAGAGAGGGGGACCACCAGGGCATCCTTCCAATCCTGCGGAACCCATCCAGTGGCCCAGACTGTTGTTATTATATCTTGTAGGGCAGTCTGTGCACAAACGCCACCCTGCGTCAGAATTTCGCTTGGGAGATCATCTCTGCCCGCTGACTTTCCTGGTCTCAAACTCCGGATCGCCCTCAGTACTTCCTCAACTGATGGCACTTCAGCCAGCCACTCACAGGGGGTGACTTCTTCCAATATTTGAGGCACCGCAGCCTCAGCAGCGTCATCATCACTTTGTGCCACGATGTTTTCCTGGCTGAGGGGTTTTCCCTCCCCCAGGACCTCACAGAAATGCTCAGCAAATCTGCAAACCTGTTCCTGGGGGTCGGAGATTGGATCACCGTTTTTTCCCCTAATGATGGTAATAGGTGTGGCGCTGCAGGTTACTTTTTTGATGGAGTTAAATAGAGATTTGTGATCGCAGGCCACTGAGGCAGACTCCATCTCCTCAGCAACCCGCGACCACCACCCATCCTTGCAGCGCCTCACGGCTCTCCGAACCTCCAAGCGAAGGTTGCGGTAAGCCTCCTCATTCTCTGACGTGGGATTCTGTAGCCGATGACAGTGGGCCTGTCGCTTTTTCTCAACCATCCTGAACACCTCTGTCAGCCAGGGTCTCTGGGGAGGTCTGGACCGCATACCCAAAGCAGCCATTGCAACTGCATGAGTCACAGTCCTAAACCTCGCCCATTTACCCTCGACATCAGGAGGAGTGGGGGACGATGCCAATCACAGCCACAAGCGATGATTAAATTCTCACTTGCAACTTCCATCAGCTGAGACCAGGCCACCTTAGGTTGGAATGGGGTCCTGGGTGTACACCTACCACCGGAGTGGAAGAATGGAAGGTTCATCTTGCAGATCGATAGTCAGAGGGCAGATCAGCTCCACGGTAGGTCCTGGTATCAAGGACATGGGCTCGCATCCGCTGGTCCGTCACTATGCAGTCCAGCAGATGTTCTTGCTTGGACCCGGCATGCATCCATGATGTTGTGTGGATGCGCCGATGCCGGAACAGCGTGTTGGTAATTACAAGCCCATGGGCTGCACAAAAATCTAGCAGCCTCCTACCGTTGTTATTGAGCTGATCTGACCCATGCCCTCCAATCACTCCAGACCAGATGCCAGCATTATGACCAACTCGGGCATTGAAGTCACCCAACAGGATGACTCTGTCCCGAGGGGCCACTTAAGCCAGCACCTGTGACAGGAGGTCATAGAAGGCATCTGGCTCATCGGCTTTGCCTGCATCCCTCCACGGATGTTCGTCTTCAGTGGGGGCATAAATAACCACGACCGCCTGGGGCTTACAACTTCCCACACCTCACCGCCACACTCCCACGCCCCCTTCATTCTTTTATTCAAAAGAAGAGCCACACCCTGTTGTTTGGCAGTCTGCTGCCCCGAGTAGATGACTGTCCACCCCTCATGGTGGCAGGAGCCAGAACCGATCCACCGGATCTCCTGAATGCCACAGAGATCCAGGCGGTACCGGTCCAGCTCCCGACAGAGGAGTGGTAGCCTCTCCTCCTCAGTGAGCGTTCGAACATTCCACGTGGCCACACGAAGTGGCTTTTCGTTGTTTCTGGAGGAGCCCCGAGGGTAGAGATTCAGCCTCCTGGCTCCGCCAATTGGGGTTTGGCCAGGAGACGTCATAGACGCCTGTCCCCCCGGGGCCTCCGGCACAAGCTTATTAGTTAGATATTTAACTCGTGGTTTCATGGTAAATTTTTGAAGGTGGAGGGATTACCAGCCCCTCGCACCCGTCCAGAGCCCCCGTTTAGCCCCTGTGATGGACACATATGCCATGAGGGGAGGAGCCAATCGTAATTGGCCCTCCCCCCACAGCACTGTCCACGACAGAGTTGCCCGTCCGGCACCACGAGGAGGTGGGGGGTTGTTTTGCCACGCAACCACCATCACCACCACCATCACCACCATTACCACCATCACCACCACCATCACCACCATTACCACCATCACCACCGCCATCACCACCACCATCACCACCATCACCACCACCATCACCACCACCATCACCACCATTACCACCATTACCACCTCACCACCACCATCACCACCATTACCACCATCACAACCACCATCACCACCACCATCACCACCATCACCACCACCATCACCACCACCATCACCACCATCACCACCATTACCACCATCACCACCACCACCACCATCACCACCATCACCACCACCATCACCACCACCATCACCATCACCACCATCACCACCACCATCACCACCACCACTATCACCACCACCATCACCACCATCACCACCATCCCCCCCCCCCCCGTCTCTCCCCCTGCCAGGCATGGTCCTTGTACTGTCCCTCTCCTTGGCAATCGCCTGGTGGAGCTGCGGTGGCGCTGCTGCTGGTGGTGGTGGTGGTGGAGCACGTGGTGGTGGAGCTGCTGGTGGAGTTGGCGGTGGAGCCTCGCACGACCTGAACTTTGACAACCCAGTCTACAATCGCTGTCCCACCGCTCACCCCCCATCAGCTGCTGCTGCTGCCTCGCTGGGGCTCGCCGGGGTCCTGTGGGGGCCTCAGGGGGAGCCTCAGGGGGCGGAGGGGGTGGACCCCCTCGCCGTGCTGGGGGTCTCCGCGCTGATGCTGATGCAGCAGCCTCAGCAGCAGCCTCAGCAGCAGCATCAGCAGCCTCAGCCTCAGCAGCAGCCTCAGCAGCAGCCTCAGCAGCAGCTTCATCAGCAGCCTCAGCCTCAGCAGCAGCCTCAGCCTCAGCAGCAGCCTCAGCAGCAGCTTCATCAGCAGCCTCAGCCTCAGCAGCAGCCTCAGCATCATCATCATCAGCAGCCTCAGCCTCAGCAGCAGCAGCCTCAGCAGCAGCCTCAGCAGCAGCCTCAGCAGCAGCCTCAGCATCATCATCATCAGCAGCCTCAGCCTCAGCAGCAGCATCAGCAGCAGCCTCAGCAGCAGCCTCAGCAGCAGCCTCAGCATCATCATCATCAGCAGCCTCAGCCTCAGCAGCAGCCTCAGCATCATCATCATCAGCAGCCTCAGCCTCAGCAGCAGCCTCAGCATCATCATCATCAGCAGCCTCAGCCTCAGCAGCAGCCTCAGCAGCAGCTTCATCAGCAGCCTCAGCCTCAGCAGCAGCTTCATCAGCAGCAACAGCAGCCTCAGCATCATCATCATCATCAGTTCTTGCCCTGTGGAGTTGGAGGGGCAGAGGGAGAGATTTGTCTGGTGAGTGGGGTGGGTGGTGAGGGGGGAGGGTAGGGAGGGAGGGAGGGGAGGGAGGGGAGGGAGGGAGGGAGGGAGGGGAGGGAGGGAGGGAGGGGGGAGGGAGGGAGGGAGGGAGGGAGGGAGGGGGGAGGGAGGGAGGGGGGGGAGGGAGGGAGGGAGGGAGGGAGGGGGGAGGGAGGGAGGGGGGGGAGGGAGGGAGGGAGGGGGGAGGGAGGGAGGGGGGAGGGAGGGAGGGAGGGAGGGAGGGGGGGAGGGAGGGAGGGAGGGAGGGGGGAGGGGAGGGAGGGAGGGAGGGGAGGGGAGGGGAGGGGGGAGGGAGGGGAGGGGAGGGAGGGAGGGAGGGAGGGAGGGAGGGGAGGGAGGGAGGGAGGGAGGGAGGGAGGGAGGGAGGGAGGGAGGGAGGGAGGGAGGGAGGGAGGGAGGGAGGGAGGGGAGGGAGGGAGGGGAGGGGGGAGGGAGGGGAGGGAGGGAGGGGAGGGGGGAGGGAGGGAGGGAGGGAGGGAGGGAGGGGAGGGAGGGAGGGAGGGAGGGAGGGGAGGGAGGGAGGGAGGGAGGGAGGGAGGGGAGGGAGGGAGGGAGGGAGGGAGGGGAGGGGAGGGAGGGAGGGGAGGGGAGGGGAGGGAGGGAGGGAGGGAGGGAGGGAGGGAGGGAGGGAGGGAGGGGAGGGAGGGAGGGAGGGAGGGAGGGAGGGGAGGGAGGGAGGGAGGGAGGGAGGGGAGGGAGGGAGGGGAGGGAGGGAGGGAGGGAGGGAGGGAGGGAGGGAGGGAGGGAGGGGAGGGAGGGAGGGAGGGAGGGAGGGAGGGAGGGGAGGGGAGGGAGGGAGGGGAGGGGGGGAGGGAGGGGAGGGAGGGAGGGAGGGGAGGGGGGAGGGAGGGGAGGGAGGGAGGGGAGGGAGGGGAGGGAGGGGAGGGAGGGGGGGGGGAGGGGAGGGAGGGAGGGGAGGGAGGGAGGGAGGGAGGGAGGGGAGGGAGGGAGGGGAGGGAGGGGAGGGAGGGAGGGAGGGGAGGGAGGGGAGGGAGGGAGGGGAGGGAGGGGGGGAGGGAGGGAGGGGAGGGAGGGGGGGGAGGGAGGGGGGGAGGGAGGGAGGGGAGGGAGGGGAGGGAGGGGATGGAGGGGAGGGGGAGGGAGGGATGGAGGGGAGGGGCTACTGTCTTTGTCTCTCTCCCCCCACCCAAGATGGCCACCGCCGTGAGGTTGGAGAGTGACGGCTACCGCTGATTGGCTGGGAGCCGACCAATCGGGTCGTCGCGACCCGGCGTCACAAGGGACCCCCTGCAGTTTGACCAATCACAGAGACTCTCACCGCGTGACTCCGCTCGGACCAATCAGAGCCTCACACACACCGTGACTCCACTCCGACCAATCACAGAGACTCTCACTCTCACCACGTGACTCCACTCCGACCAATCACAGAGACTCTCACACACACCGTGACTCCACTCCGACCAATCACACAGACTCACACACCGTGTGACTCCACTCCGACCAATCACAGCGACTCTCACCACGTGACTCCACTCCGACGAATCACAGAGACCCTCACACACCGTGACTCCATTCCGACCAATCACAGAGACTCTCACCGTGTGACTCCGCTCCGACCAATCACAGAGACTCACACCCCGTGACTCCACTCCGACCAATCAGAGACACTCTCACCGCGTGACTCCACACCGACCAATCACAGAGACTCTCACCACGTGACTCAATTCCGACCAATCACAGAGACTCACACACCGTGCGACTCCACTCCGACCAATCACAGAGACTCACACACCGTGCGACTCCATTCCGACCAATCACAGAGACTCACACACCGTGTGACTCCACTCCGACTAATCACAGAGACTCACCGCGTGACTCCACTCCGACCAATCACAGAGACTCTCACACACCGTGTGACTCCCGCTCCGACCAATCACAGAAACTCTCACACACACCGCGTGACTCCGCTCCGACCAATCACAGAGACTCTCACACCCTGTGACTCCACTCCGACCAATCACAGACACTCTCACCGCGTGACTCCACACCGACCAATCACAGAGACTCTCACACACCGCGTGACTCCACTCCGACCAATCACAGAGACTCTCACACACCGCGTGACTCCGCTCCGACCAATCACAGAGACTCTCACACACCGCGTGACTCCGCTCCGACCAATCACAGAGACTCTCACACACCGCGTGACTCCGCTCCGACCAATCACAGAGACTTTCACACACCGCGTGACTCCACTCCGACCAATCACAAAGACTCTCACACACCGTGTGACTCCACTCCGACCAATCACAGAGACTCTCACAACCCGTGACTCCACTCCGACCAATCACAGACACTCTCACCGCGTGACTATGCACCGACCAATCACAGAGACTCTCACACACACCGTGTGACTCCACTCCGACCAATCACAGACTTTCACCGTGTGACTCCACTCCGACCAATCACAGAGACTCACACACCACATGACTCCACTCCGACCAATCACAGAGACTCTCACACACCGTGTGACTTCCGCTCCGACCAATCACAGAGACTATCACACCGTGTGACTCCACTCCGACCAATCACAGAGACTCTCACACCGCGTGACTCCGCTCCAACCAATCACAGAAACTCACACACCGCGTGAGTCCACTCCGACCAATCACAGAGACTCTCACACACCGTGTGACTCCGCACCGACCAATCATAGAGACTCTCACACACCCCGTGACTCCGCTCCGACCAATCACAGAGACTCTCACCGTGTGACTCCACTCTGACCAATCACAGAGACTCACACACACCGTGTGACTTCGCACCGACCAATCACAGAGACTCTCACCACGTGACTCCACTACGACCAATCACAGAGACTCTCACCGTTGACTCTACTCCGACCAATCACAGACACTCTCACACACCGTGTGACTCCACTCCGACCAATCACAGAGACTCTCACACACACCGTGTGACTTCGCACCCACCAATCACAGAGACTCTCACCGTGTGACTCCACTCTGACCAATCACAGAGACTCACACACCGCGTGACTCCGCACCGACCAATCACAGAGACCCTCACCATGTGACTCCGTACCGACCAATCACAGAGACTCTCACACACCGTGACTCCACACCGACCAATCGCAGAGACTCACACACCGCGTGACTTGGTACCGACCAATCACAGAGACACACACCGCGTGACTCCACACCGACCAATCACAGAAACTCTCACACACACCGCGTGACTCCACACCGACCAATCACAGAAACTCTCACACACCGCGTGACTCCCGCTCCGAACCAATGGCCTGAGACCCTTACTCAGGGCCGCTCTGCTGTGACGTCACTGATGACGTCACCGCCACCACAGCGATGTCCATCCAGCAGTGGATAGACCCTAGGCGATGTCCATCCAGCCTCTGTGTTTAACACGTAGCAGGCTTTCACGATCGATATCATTCGTAATAAAGGAATTTTTTTGGGTGGTTAGATCGCGTTATTTATACATGTGTCGTAACCCTCCACCACCCGATGTCGGCCAATCAGCAGGAAAAAAAAGTGTGACGTTGACAAAAGACAAATTAGTACACTAATTTATCCCCACACCCAGTGTGTTGTGGATTCACACTCTTCAACACACCGGTGGGGCTAAAGTAGTGAACTAATTTGTCTTTTGTCAACGTGACACTTTTTTTTCTGCTGATAGGCCAGGTCGGGTGGTGGAGGGATTCGACACATTTATAAATGACGTGATCTAACCACCCCAACAAACCTTTATTATGCCTCTGTGTTGTTGGTTCGACCATTGACAGATCCAGTGTCGTTGTGGGTCGAGCTATGGGCGAAAGAATCCAGAATGACAGAGGCAAAGAATACAAACTCACTCACTCACCACTCACTCACTCACTCACCACTCACTCACTCACCACTCACTCACTCAGCCACTCATCACTCACTCACCACTCACTCACCACTCACTCACTCACCCACTCACTCACCACTCACTCACTCAGCCACTCACTCACTCACCACTCACTCAGCCACTCACTCACTCACCACTCACTCAGCCACTCACTCACTCACTCACCCACTCACTCACCACTCACTCACTCAGCCACTCACTCACCACTCACTCACCCACTCACTCACTCACAAACTCACTCACTCACCACTCACTCACCACTCACTCACCCACTCACTCACTCACCACTCACTCACCACTCACACACTCACTCACCACTCACTCACCACTCACTCACTCACCACTCACTCACCACTTACACACTCACTCACTCAGCCACTCACTCACCACTCACTCACCACTCACTCACTCACCCACTCACTCACCCATTCACCCACTCAGTCACTCACCACTCACTCAGCCACTCACTCACCACTCACTCACCCACTCACTCACCCACTCACCACTCACTCACCACTCACTCACCCACTCACTCACCCACTCACTCACCACTCACTCACCACTCACTCACTCAGCCACTCACTCACTCACCACTCACTTACCACTCACTCACCACTCACTCACCACTAACTCACCACTCACTCACCCACTCACTCAGCCACTCACTCACCCACTCACCACTCACTCACCACTCTCTCACCACTCACTCCCCCACTCACTCACCACTCACTCACTCACCACTCACTTACCACTCACTCAGCCACTCACTCACCACTCACTCACTCACTCAGCAACTCACTCACTCACCACTAACTCACCACTCACTCACCCACTCACTCAGCCACTCACTCAGCCACTCACTCACCACTCACTCACCACTCTCTCACCACTCACTCCCCCACTCACTCAGGCACTCACTCAGCCACTCACTCACCACTCACTCACCCACTCACTCACCACTCACTCACCACTCACTCACTCACCACTCACTCACCCACTCACTCACTCACCACTCACTCACTCACTCACCACTCACTCACTCACTCAGCCACTCACTCACTCACTCACCACTCACTTACCACTCACTCACCCACTCCCTCACTCAGCAACTCACTCACTCACTCAGCCACTCACTCACCACTCACTCACCACTCACTCTCTCAGCCACTCACTCAGCCACACTCACTCACTCAGCACTCACTCAGCACTCACTCACCATTCACTCCCCCATTCACTGAGCCACTCACTCACCCACTCACTCACCACTCACTCACTCACTCAGCCACTCAATCACTCACTCAGCAACTCACTCACTCACTCGGCAACTCACTCACTCACCACTCACCCACGCACTCACTCAGCCACTCACTCACCCACTCACTCACCACTCACCCACTCACTCAGCCACTCACTCACTCAGCCACGCACTCACCACTCACTCAGCCACTCACTCACTCACCACTCACTCACTCACTCAGCCACTCACCCATTCACTCACTCAGCCACTCACTCACTCACAACTCAGCCACTCACTCACCACTCACTCAGCCACTCACTCACTCAGCCACACTCACTCACTCACCACTAACTCAGCCACTCAGCCACTCACTCACCCACTCACCACTCAATCAGCCACTCACTCACCTACTCACCCACTCACTCACCCATTCACCCACTTACTCACCACTCACTCACCTACTCACCACTCACTCATCCACTCACTCACCACTCACTCACCCACCCACTCACTCACCCACTTAGTCACGACTCACTCACCACTCACCCACTTACTCACCACTCACCCACCCACTCACTCACCCACCCACTTACTCACCCACTCACTCACTCACCCACTCACTCACTCACTGACACACTCACTCACACACTCACTCACTCACCCACTCACTCACCCGCTCACTCACCCACTCACCACTCACTCACCCACTCACTCACCCGCTCACTCACAACTCACTCACCACTCATTCACCACTCAGCCACTCACTCACCCATTCACTCACACATTCACTCACCCACTCACTCACTCACCAATCACCCATTCACTCACCCACTCACCCACCCACTCACACACTCACCCACACACTTGTTTAGGCGCAAAAATGATGACTACGGAGACCAGATCTTCACGTAGCCAGCTGATTTTATTAAAGACTTTTCTTCACTTATGACTCCGTGTACTGCACACTCAGAACCTGCACTCCACACCCCTAGGGGTAAGATACTGGGGTAGGTCTCTATCACACCCACAGACTACCAATTATCCCCTAAACCCTGGGGGTCCCATCGCTACCCCCAGGGGTAGGGGTACTGGGGTAGGTCTGTAGCACACCCACAGACTACCAATTACCCCCTAAACCCTGGGGGTCCTATCGCTACCCCCAGGGGTAGGATACTGGGGTAGGTCTCTAGCACATCACCCTACCCTGGGATCCAACTTCCAACTAAGCAGGTTCCCGGCTATTCGCAATGGCCTCGAACACGTGACGGGGCCCAACCTATATATCCCAGGGGGACATGATGTCAGAGTCCCGCCCCCTGTGCTTGACGTCACCATATGTGACGTCATCGTACCGGAGGGCGAGCGTGACGTGACGTTGCTAAGTACTAATCTACATACTAACCACTCAGTTACTCACCCACACACTCACCACTGACTCACTCACCCACTCACTCACCCATTCACTCACTCACCACTGACTCACCCACTCACTCAGCACTCACCTACACACTCACTCACCACTCACTTACTCACCCACACCCTCACCCATTCACTCACTCACCCACTCACTCACCACCCACCCACTCACTCAGCACTCACCTACTCACTCACTCACCCACTCACTCACCCATTCACTCACCCACCCACTCACTCACCCACTCACCCACCCACTCACCCACTCACTCCCCACTCACTCACTCACCCACTCACTCACCACTCGCCCACTCACTCACCACTCACCCACTCACTCACCTACTCACTCACTCACCCAATCACTGACCCGCTCACTCACACACCCACTCACTCACCCACTCACCCACTCACTCACCCACTCACTCACTCACCCACTCACCCACTCACTCACTCACCCACTCACTCACCCACTCACTCACTCACCCACTCACTCATTCACCCACTCACTCACTCGCTCACTCACTCACCCACTCACTCACCACTCACCCACTCACTCACTCATTCACCCACTCACTCACTCGCTCACTCACTCACCCACTCACTCACTCACCCACTCACTCACTCATCACTCACTCTCTCACCCACTCACCCACTCACTCACTCATCACTCATTCACTCTCTCACCCACTCACTCACCCACCCACTCACTCACCCACTCACCCACTCACTCACTCATCACTCACTTACTCACTCACCCACTCATTCACTCACCCACTCACTCACCCACTCACTCACCCACTCACCCACCCACTCACCCACCCACCCACTCACTCACCCACCCACTCACCCACTCACCCACCCACTCACTCACCCACTCACCCACTCACTAACTCACTCACTAACTCACTCACTCACCTACTCACTCGCTCACTCACCCACTCACTCACTCACCCACTCACTCACCACTCACCCACTCACTCACTCACCCACTCACTCGCTCACTCACCCACTCACTCACTCAGACACCCACTCACCCCCTCACTCACCACCCACTCACTCACCACTCACTCACTCACCCACACCCTCACCCATTCACTCACACATTCACTCACTCACCCATCACTCACCCACTCACCTACCCACTCACTCATCACCACTCACCCACTCACT